GAGCAGAGATTAAAGGAGGACACAAGGAAGGGTGGTGAAGTAATGATACAAGTACCTTCTCCTAGACCTGACAGGTGAGGGTGCTAGGTTAGGCCTTCTTGAATGCAACTTCCTGCAGTATACAGACAAATATGATAAGCCATAGAGGAATCTTGGGAGAAATCACGGAATATACATAAGATTACCATGGTATACCTCTTGGAATCATCTGATGTTTCATCATTTGTGTCATTGGCGTGACTACCAGAATTGTCCTTGCTGCTTCTACCCCTATAGCTAGGGGATGAAGTTCGTCTTTTTTTGTGCCTGCTTGAATCACTTCCAAGATTATGTCTTGACGTAACTTCCTCTTTTGCGTGTTCTCCTTTTCTGTCAACCTCTTCTGTCACACTAGCCCTATGGTATTTCTCTGAGTCTTTCTTTTCATCTTTGGCATCATGATGGTTGGATTGTCTTTGTGATTCATATTCCTTAGCATTTTTCTCAGTCTTAACACCAGGCTCCTTCAAGTCATTCCGATCATCTGCCTTTTCCTTCCTTAGATGCCTTTCATCCTGTCTCTTACGATTCTCATCTTCCCTAATCCTACTGATCCCTACCTCCCTACCAGAGACCTTATCATCTCCCCTATCTGATTTTAGTCCAGACTCCCTACCTTCAGAATCATCTTTGCTTGATTTTTTCCCTATACCTTTTTCAGGTAATTCAGATGTTGTCATGACCTTTTCTCCTGAAGTACCATTCATCCAAGAACCATTAATATCATTCTGGGGAACTCCTTTGGAAGAATGTGAGAAATCACGCCCCCTATCTGGCCCATTTCCACTCAATCCAGTAAAAAAAGCATTCTTATTGTTGTTTTTCTGGGTCAGATCACTTTCCAAATTCTTTTCAGATCCATAATGTTCATCAGATTCTACATGGGAATAACCATTCTCAAATGCATCAAGCATGGTTTCTGAAACCTTTTTAATGCTGGAGATCTGAAGAACAGCATTATTCCTAGTCTCTGGTATCCTAGAATTTCTGGTTTCATCATCATCATCATCATCAGCATAATTTCCAAGACCCAGAACATCACCAGCAGAGCTTGAACTAGATTTTTCACTGAGACCTACACCATCAGATTCCTTGCCTTTACCTGGAACCACAACCCTTGCAGAAGCCTTAGCAGTTGGCATTGCTGGGGGAGATGATCTTGAATTCAAAATTTTGTCATGAACTGCAGTCATTGCAAGCAGTCAAAAAATGACACCAGAAAA